CATGGATAAACACATGAGCACGGCACAGAAGGGTATCGGTGTAAATACCAGAGGAGCCAAACCAACTCCTCGTAGACCGCACAGTTGCCCGAGACTGCAAAACCCGACACACCAACCTGTGCATGGCTTGGATTGATTACAAGAAAGCCTATGACTCAATGCCGCATACTTGGATCATTGAATGCCTAGAGATGTATAACATCAACAGGATTCTGAGAGCCTTCATTGCAAACTCGATGAGGCTGTGGAAAACCACCCTTGAAGCCAACTGCAAACCACTTGCACAAGTGTCCATCAAATGTGGCATATACCAAGGAGATGCCCTGTCCCCGCTACTGTTCTGCATAGGCCTGAACCCCCTCAGCCAAATTATCAACAAGACTGGCTACGGATACCGACTCAAAAATGGGGCCAACATCAGTCACCTCCTCTACATGGATGACATCAAGCTGTATGCCAAGAGTGAGCGAGACATCGACTCACTGATCCACACCACCAGGATCTACAGCACTGACATTGGGATGTCATTCGGACTAGAGAAATGTGGTCGGATGGTCACAAAGAGGGGGAAGGTGATCCACACAGAAGGAGTCTCACTCCCACAAGGAACAATAGCAGACATAGAGGACAGTTACAAGTACCTAGGTATACCACAAGCAAATGGCAACCTCGATGAGGCCACAAGGAAAGGAGCCACAGCTAAATACCTACAACGAATAAGGCAAGTCCTGAGAAGCCAGCTCAATGGCAAGAACCAAATCCGTGCGATAAACAGCTATGTCCTGCCAGTAATAAGATACCCTGCTGGAATAATCAGCTGGCCAAAGGAGGAGATAAAAGCCACAGATATTAAGACTAGAAAGCTACTAACCATGTATGGAGGGTTCCACCCCAAATCCAGCACCCTGAGACTGTACACGAGCCGCAAGGAAGGAGGCAGAGGACTAGTGAGTGTGAGAACCACTGTCCAGGACGAAACAACTAAGATCCATAAATACATCAGGGACAAAGCCTCAACAGACAATGTGCTCAGTGAATGTCTCAGACAACAGGGAACGGAGGTTGAGGTGCCAGAGATACCATCATGGGAGGACAAGCCCCTACATGGGATGTACCACCAGCAAATAACCCAAGTGGCTGATATCAGTAAATCCTACCAATGGCTGGAAAAAGCTGGACTCAAGGACAGCACAGAGGCCCTCATCCTGGCCGCCCAGGAACAGGCCCTAAACACCAGAGCAATAGAGGCCCAGATCTACCACACCAGACAAGACCCAAGGTGTAGGTTGTGCAAGGAGGCCCCTGAGACAGTCCAGCACATCACAGCAGGGTGCAAGATACTGGCAGGGAAAGCGTACATGGAGCGACATAACCAAGTGGCAGGCATAGTGTACAGAAACATCTGTGCAGAATATGGACTGGAAACCCCGAGATCAAAGTGGGAAACACCCCCAAAGGTGGTGGAGAACGCCAGAGCTAAGATCCTGTGGGACTTCCAGATCCAGACAGACAAAATGGTAATGGCGAACCAACCAGACATTGTCGTAGTGGATAAACATCAGAGGAAATTCGTTGTGGTAGATGTAGCAATACCAAGTGATTGCAACATCAGGAAAAAGGAGCACGAGAAACTGGAGAAATACCAGGGCCTCAGGGAAGAACTGGAGAGGGCCTGGAAGGTGAAGACCACAGTGGTGCCTGTGGTCATCGGGGCCCTCGGGGCAGTAACCCCCAAACTGGAGCAGTGGCTACAACAGATCCCAGGAACAACATCTGACATCTCAGTCCAGAAATGTGCAGTCCTTGGCACAGCCAAGATACTGCGCAGAACCCTCAAGCTCCCAGGCCTCTGGTAGAGGACCCGAGCTCAGAGGATAAGAACCACCCGCGGTGGGTGAGAAGGGAATTTTTTATATATATATAAGTAAGTGTACATGAATATATATGTATTCTTTGTTTACAATGGGAATCTAACTACACCAAGAATATTAAATGAAGTACCTCAGATCAACATATCAATCCCTCGATAATGTAGGTAACAATGTCATGATGTTGCTTGTTGGAGTGTGGACCCAAAGCAGAGGCAGTTGCTGAGTTTTATGATTTACTGAAATGATTTGTAACACTTACAAAAACAGAAGATCCCAAACATGAAACCCAGAGTACATCCAATAAGAAGAACCAGGGACAAACAGAGGACTGAGGAGAATTAACAAAAGGATCTGATGAGTAATGCGAGAGGATGAGAGGCTTAAATGATGGGAGATAGAGATAGACTAAACCGGGGCTGATGAGCTAATTGATTGCAGATGGGAGTAGAATGCAGGAGCTGGGCTGAGGGGCAGGGAGAGAGTGGCACAGGAAACTACATACATAAGCAAGGAAACAAGGAGTGAGGAAAGGGAGCTGGAAATAATTCTAAAAGTAAGCTAACTAGAAAGAAACAAAGACGTGAAGGGGATAAAAAACACTGCTCTAAAAGTAATAAGGACTAAGGAACATAGAGTAAGAGCAACTAGAAGGACAAAACAAAGAAATAACCTGACGAGAATCAATAAAGAAAGATGGACATAGATTCAGACGTAAAGAATAACTAAACCCAAAGTAACAAGATAATAAAACTAGAAAAAGTCTGAGGGGACTGAGAGGACTAAACAAATAAATCAGAGTTAGAATTAGAAAATTTGAAATTCTACAATTTTTTGATTCTAGAATTAAAAACTAGGATCACTAAAGAAAGCTGGGCATGGATACAGACATAAAAGAACTAAACCTAAAGTAACAAGAGAACTAGAAACGCTATGATGGAGGCTGAAGGAAGGAATAACTAGATAAAACAGAAACACTGAAGAGACAAAATCCCAACGCAAAACCCAGAGTCCTGACAGATAAATGAATTTGACCAAATAAAATTTACAACCATGCTCCAAAGATAAAAGATGTCAAATGAGTCCTTTGACTTTGAAATATATATATATATATATTTCTATTGCCTAAATTTGTAAGCTTGAAATATTAATATCCATTAATATGGTTCTTGCAGTAATTGTGCTCTGGGCTATTTGGGGAAACAATAGGTTCAAACCGGGAAGAGCAGACAGGGGGTTTAGAATATGGATGAATAAAGGCTTAAATAAAATAGGGGACCTTTATAGTGAAGGAGTTTTGTTGTCCTTTGAACAACTGGTAAATAAGTACAGCCTGCCCCAAAAGCATTTTTTTAAGTATTTACAGATTAGAAGTTTTATTTTTGCCTCTCTGAAATCTACGACTGAACCTCCACTCTCTACCATAGAGAATATAGCTGTTCACCATAATCAGAGTAGAGGCCTACTTTCCAAATTTTATAATATTTTACTTTTAGCTTCAAAAGAAAATAGTCTCTCATATTTACAAGCCTGGAAAACTGATCTGCAAACGGAAATTCCTGAGGATGAATGGAGTAACTCATGTTTAATGGCACAAACGCAAACTATTAACACAAGATTTAGACTATTGCAATACAAATGGTTATTTAGAACGTATATCACTCCTGTAAAACTTCATCATTTTAATTCAAATATTCCTGATATCTGTGTTAAATGTAATATAGATAAGGGTACTCTTTTCCATTGTATGTGGCAATGTGTAGAACTTCAAACTTTCTGGAAGGAGGTTATTATGTTCATCTCTCGTTTGATCGAACAGGACGTTCCAATGGACAGTAAACTTTGCTTACTGCATATTTTCCCAGATGGATTTAGAGGTCCTACAAAGAGACAGAAGCTTGTGACTTTTTGCCTCTTGCAGGCTAAACATTTAATTGCTCTGAAGTGGAGGAACACAGAAAGACCAAAGATAAATGAATGGATCAAACTATTGGGCAACAACCTGGCAATGGAAAAGCTGACATATTTAACAAAAGGGAAGCTTGAAGACTTTAAAGATATTTGGTTTCCTTTCTTACATCTTGTCAAATACTGTGATATGTAAAGCTAATTTTTCTTTTCTTTTTTTTGTGTAGATGGAGTGAGCCCTGGGGTTCAGTGTTCTTTTTGGGTGGGGGGAGGGAATGCGCTGTATGTAATTTTTTTTTTTTTTTTTTTTTAGGTTCTGTTTGTTTTTGTATGTCTGTATAACAGAAAATCCTAATAAAACTATCTTGGAAAAAAAAAATTGTGCTCTGGGCCAGCCCTTCTGTTCCCCTCTAACCAATTAAACTGCAAGCAATTAAACAGGTAATGTCCCCTACCAGAACTCAACAGCAACGAAGGGACACTTAGTCCACTGCACATGCATGCAAGTAGTAGCAAATTTGTTCAGGGAACAACTGACGGAGAAGATATATTTAATTTTCTAATTCTTGGGTTGTTCGTTGCTCTCCCTTTGTCACAGCCATAACCTGATTTATTTAACTAGCTAATTCTCTGCAGGAGAGTTGCTTTTACATCAAAATAGGTAGTTTGAGCAAGCATTATTTTTTGACAGTCTTAATGTACACAATTTTTGACTGAGTTAATTGCAGGGTCTGTAATTAAATATTCTCAATTAATCCCATTTTAATTAAAAAATATATAACAAAATAGGCAACCTTTTATATTCAAAAACCGCTTTTGCTGATAAAATTTTTAACTTATATGAGCACAACAAAAACTATTTTTTGTTTTTAAATTTGTTTAGGGTGTTGTGATTGGTATTAAGTGCTTTATATACATTCAGCTTTCAAGTGTTCCCTGATCACCTTTGGACATTTTTTAAAACTGGATGCTGACATTAGCACCGGGGACATCCGTGCTGCTGCAACATGCTTAGCATTTGGATACTGTCGTAAGTTTGAATAGCTTTGCTAATAGGCCACCTCCTTTATGCACAGCCAGCAAAAAAACAACAACAGTCTTCTCCAGTGCCCAATCAAATTGTTTTTCAAAGCTAAAGTTAATTCCCAGCAGGCAAAGTGTGACAGTTGTGTTTTTCTTGTACATATTTAGAGAAGTGTGTGTGTATTTGTTTGTTTGTGAAACCTGTCCAACATAGGTCTCCCAGCACTGGTCCTGTTGAGATCGTGCATTTTTCTCAAAAGGAATTGTCTGGTTGTATGCAGTAACTAAGCTGCTCCTGTTGTGGATGAAGTTGATTGCTGTGCTGATGGTTGCCATGGTACTGTTGTGATGCTCAGACACAGAGATCCTTGATAGTTGGGAAGAGAGACTGGATATGGTGGAGCTGGTGTTCGTCCAGTTACTTGAACTCGCATGAGGCTGAAAGATAAACATTATATAGTCAGAACAAAGATGAAATTATTGTTTTTGTGTAGCAGAGAGTTCCTGCTGCTGTCCAGGGAAAGCACTTTTTCACAATTGCAAATCAATTTTGTTTCAAACAAACTAACAATTTTTCATCCATGTAATATTGTAAACTACACAATAAGGAAATGCAACATCTTTTCAAAATATTATTTTCCTTTTCTGAGGGGTTGGAGGAGTGAATGCTTAGAGCCTTTTTTGTGATGTGGATGTGTTATCGGTACATTTTCTTATGCATAATTGATTCAGTTTAATGTATCAAAACAAAACAAATGAGTTTTAAGGCACTTTACAAAAAAGTTACATTCAGTCTGATCATACAGATTATAGTCATTTGATCCTTATCAAGTAATGCAATCAGATCTACTTTGTTACTGAAATAGAAAGAAATCAGTCAATCTAGAGGAAACCAACAGAATACATAATACTGAACATGCATGTAACGACTGCAGAGAAAAACTCCACCTTACAAGAAGGGGCAGCAAACAATGCAAGGACCAGACTCAGTGTGACTGGTTGTCTGCCACAACCAACAGGAGGTTTGAGAAGAAAAAGCATACAAACAATATGCACACAGAAGAGCTAATCCAGGTCGACTTCCGATGTTAAAGAAAAGTAAAAAGCCATTAAATAGAATCTATAAGAAGCCACTAAAACATTTTTCATCATTAAAAGTTAAAAAGTTTGACGCATTCGAGGCCATGATATTTCAACAGAGGATTAATAGAGCTAAAACTATTAAACTACTAAGTGCAGATAAATGTGACAGTCAATGAATACTGGTGGCCTCAGAATCAAACCGTACCGAATCTCACACATGTGCTGAGGGGTGTTTTTATTTTTTTAACAAATAGTAGCATAAAAGTGTCTTTCACTCAAGTAAGCATGGAACGACTCCGGCGTTGCTGCTATAATGCTAACCCAGTGTTCTAACCATGACAAAAGGTTGCTCAACAACCTTTGACCCTGGTCAACAGCATCAAAGGATGCAGTTAAGGTTCACAAGCACAAGAGTCACAAATGGATCAGTCATTTTCTAAACAGGTTTTGGTTGTTTAGGATCTTGGGTTGTTTTGGAATTTGGTTATAGATTCTAGTTTTGTCATTACTCTGTATTCCTTAGTTTCTTATTCTGATTAGATCAGCCATGTTTCTGTTTTACCTCAGCTACAACCGTTCTTAGTTGTTCTAATTTTTATTTATTTCCTTGTCTAATTATAGGCATCATCATGTGTTTGTGCAGATGGATCCAAATGCAGCAGGCGGAGGCGTTGAGTAGATATTGTGGATTTCAATGACAGAATAAGGAACAAAAGATGTACAACAAACACTATGGAGGACACAAGGAACCCAGGGAGCTAGAGCAGAACGAAAAAACAAATCCTACATAACAGCAGGATGAACAATGGATATCAACATTGGTCCAATTTTTCATATTTGTGCATAATTAACAATTACTTTTCTGTAGTTTAGAAAATTAACATATAACAATAATGCCTCCATTTTAAGTTAACCTGGACAAAAATAATGCAAAAATATGAAATTATATTAAATTTAATCATAAAGTAGCAGGTTTACAAAGACACATAAAAATGTCCATAAACCAGTTTTAGTTTATGTATACAATAATTTGAAAGCACACATTCAAACATTTTCAACATTTTGTTCTCAAAACTCTGAGAATGGGGCGTGTTTTTTTTAAAACAGCCTTTTCATTTTCTTAAGTGTAATATTGTGTGTGACCGAAGAAAGTTAAATAACATTCGCATTCATTTAAAGCCACCTTTAAAGGAATCATTCACCAATTAAGCAAGATCAAGTGATTAATTGATTGGAGTCAATCAATCACTTCATTGATACCAAAATGCTTACATTTTGAGTTTGAAAGAAGGACTTCATGTCTTTCTTCTCAAAACTTGTAATTCTTGTACATAAAACTTCTGCTTCTACTTCAAATATTCACTGTGTTTTCTCAGACCTTTTTTCTTGCGCTCTAAAACTTTTTTCTCAGCCTCAGTCACATCTCTGCTTGCAAACCTCTCTGCTTCGAATCGTACGGAGCCCCTAAGAGGACATGGAGAAAAAAAAAGTAATCCTGACTCATTTCCATGAGATCTTGAGAAACTTTCTCAAGATCCAAAAGATCAGAGACATTATGAAATAATCACAGTGTTGGAGGACACACGGGTCAGATTTATAGGTTTTCATTTCAAGCTTGGGCTTAAGTATAAACTTTGCAAACTTTAGTGCTTTGCAGAAGGTTTTCCTATAAGTGAGAGGCATCTGATATTATTAGTGCGTCAGTGTATTGAATATCTGTGCTACCCAACAATCTATCCTTGTGGCAGAGCACATAGGACAATCTGACTATGACACAGATCATCAGATTTTTATACATCTAGACATTTATGTCGGTGTTACCTTTCAAAAAACGTCATGTTTACAAAACCATAGCAGTTAGTAAATATAATCGGAAATCATTCTTTAAGTGACAAGATTTAAGTGGCGCTTAGCAGGTATATGAAGCATTTAAAAAAACTATTAATGAATGATTAAAAACTTTCCAAAAGCCACCAGATTGCTTCATTTGAAAATCTTGGTAAACTACAGATTGGCGATCTGTCCAGGGTGTACCTCTATCTCTGCACTGTACTGCACTAATTATTTAATCAGAATGTCTACCTGTTAAATATGTGTGGCTATATTAGTGCATTAAAACTGAATCAGAATTTCCTTCAGTGGCGCAGTTAATGTCATAAGACAACAATTTCTGAATTTCTAACAATAAGTGTTTGTAAGAATGAAACCATATCAAACATGGAAAACAAAGTCTTTATAGAAATGAAACACAGACATCTGATCCCCGTAAACTCTTTTATTGTTGTCTTTGTCGAAGTTGTCTTTCAGTCTTCATCACGCACCATAAAAATGTGTTCACCAAACTGCACAGGTCACTGCAGTTTATATATATATATATATATATATATATATATATATATATATATATATATATATATATATATATATATATATATATATAAAATATAAAGATTCTCTTCTCATCCTCTGAGCTCGGGTCCTCTACCAGAGGCCTGGGAGCTTGAGGGTCCTGCAGTATCTTGGCTGTGCCAAGGACTGCTGCACATTTCTGGACTGAGATGTCTGATGTTGTTCCTGGGATCTATATATATCTATATATATACATACACACAACAGTTTCAATCACTATAATATCAACATGGTCTGTTTAGCACAGCAAAATAAAGAATGTTAAACCAAAATATTTCCAAGGGACAAAATAGTTTCTTTGAAAGTTCTTCATGTGTATGATTTGATACTTCTATCGTGTTCGAAAACAGCATATTTTGTTCACTTTATTGACGCCAAGGAATAGGGCTTTCTTGTTTACAGTATAGTAACAACCTAAAGGGTTTTCAACTGCCGGTCATATAAACTTGAAGCATGAAGTAACAGAGCAGCTTAAGGAAAGCCATTTATTTATAAATAATTTAAATAAAGCTTACCGTAATCTTCGACGAAGTAAAACAGATGGAATTTCCACAGGTAGGATGTATTGATAAGGAAGTTGCTGAAGATCCAACATGTGGCATAACATCTGTATGCGCACTATCACAAGGGAGGACGTATTGATGAGGGGCATAGATAGTCAGAACAGACCAGAATCTTGAGAAAAAAAGTCGGGATCTTGAGAAAGTAAGTCAAGATTTCTTTCTTTTTTTCTCCATGTCCCCTTAGGGCAGTACTTTTCAAAAAGTGTGGCGCCCCACACCTCAGGGGGCCTCAAGAAACAAGACTTTATAATTGTCTTTATTCATGCTTAACAGATAAAACAAGCCTCCGGTCACTAGGTGGCAGCAGAGTTCAACCTAATCAAAAGGCTACCTGGTTAAGCCAGTAGAAGTTTCGAAATATATCTACTGTCATAGAGGAGAGATGGAGCTTGATAGTGAAAAGAAAAAAAGACAGCAGAGGTCAGTAAAGCAAGTATGACAGTTTTATGGCCAGGCCAAGATAATTTTATTTTCAAATACAATAATACTACAAAAACCAAGTCATATTAACAGAATAAAGATGCAATATCGCCAAATTAAAAATCTCCAATAGTGATATACAGGGGGAAAAGTTACCTTAGGACAATTCCAAGGATCCCTGCCCAACAGGGGGGCCTCCAGATTATTATTATTTTTTTTTTGGTTCTCTGTCTTCTCTCAGTTCTACCTAGAAACAACCAGTCAGTGGCAGGAGTTTTAGTGCTGTCAATCACAATCTCATGTTGCTGCTCATCCCTATGCTGTAGCTAGCACAGGCTGTTGTGAACTCTCAGTCTAATTAGCATAGCTACCAATGACAGCAGATAAACATTCAAGTTGTTTTTTCACCATTAGCACATTCAGCAGTGAGTGAATGAGGTTGATTGACAGCACTAATGTTATGAAGTGGTGTGGAATGGTGGTGAGGGAAACACAACAGATCAGGTTGTTCCTGACCACTAGGAAGACTCACCACTGGGACTATTAGGGGATGACTAAGGAACACTGGGACCCCTAGGAGGCGTCGGAGAGTCACGGAACACTAGAGGGAAGAAACTCGGGAGAAACACCAACTGGAGGAGACTCTGGAACACTAAGGGGAGTAGACTCGGAAAGAGCACAAGGAGGTGACAAAGAAACACTTCGGGGGTGACAAGGAACCTCTAGGGCGCAACAAGGGACCACTGGAAACACTAGGGGGCGACGAGGGACCATTGGAAAAATTTGGGGACTCAGAAGAGACACTAGGGTTTACTGTTTGTTTATCAATTGCATTGTGCAGGTTATAGGTCCATTAAAAGTGGAAGAAGTTGTAAAAATATTTGTCTTGCTGTCATTTTTTTTAATCGCATTTGAACAGGGGTGTTCAAATGCACTGTAGCTGGCATGATGTGCAACTGTTGGTCATAGCATGATCAAATAACACAGACACCATGGACACCACCAGAATAGGGTTTTCATAAAATGTAAGTTTCATTGAAAAACAGAAAAAGAAAGGAATTTATATTAGGCGTGCAAAAGACAAATGGAGCTTAGGCGAAAATTTAACCTGGGAGACTCGATCCAGCTGACATTCATCTCGCAATCGCCACGTCCTACCTCAACCAATCAGGGCTGGAGCAACTCTCCGCTTCGAGCCTATCATCATCCAGGACCGTCTTCAAAAGCCAAGCTATCAGAGGGTCGACCCGCTCGTCGGTGCGCACAACCAGTTCGTCAGCCGTGCTCTCTTTTTACCTCTCCGACGTTCAGCCAGCTGGTCTCAGCAGTCTGTGTGTCTCAGGGACATCCGCTTTGTGCAGGCAGCGACCTGGGTTTCAGCCCATCTCAGTCTAACCGGTTCTACTCCTCGAATTCAGGGTGAACTGACATGTTCCTCGTGGGAGTCGGTTTCAGCAGAAAATTAACTTACATGCACTTCGTTCTCCTCCGCAGGTACGTGATAATCAGCACATGTAGGGAATTTAAAAAAAATAAAAATTCACTCTCAGCCATTGCACTGGTGGTTAGAAGATCCCCGTTGCGCAGAGCAGGAACTCGGGCCTATCAGGCAGCTGGTATGCAGCGGTCATACGTTGTCGTCCGAGCAGCAGCCCCGTCCATCATTAAGCCACGCTGGCAGCTTCCACTGCTCTAAGTGGGGCGGACGGTACTCAGCCCACCACGTTGGGCCAGAGTCGCACTTTCCCGGATCCCGTCCCATAATGTGGCAGAATGGTTCTCATCATTGCTCGCAGGCCCTAATCCCATGGCCTTTCTGCATCTAGCAAACGTCCCTCCCCGCGTCAACCACAGTCACCTCAATCAGCTTTGCCTCGCCGCGATCCAGCCTTCACGAGCATCCTTGTCTGTCGGTCCCGAGTCGTTTCAAGGAGTTGTGCACACAGTGTACGCACTGCCATGCATTTAAAGGAAGTCCATCAACTGTACATGCCGTCAGTTCGACACACGCATAAATCGACCCGGCCAATTCTTTCCTGACGACGCAAAGGTCACTCATGCTGTCGTGGTTTCTGTGGGCAATTGCGGCTGGAGCTTGCCGCAGTCCACCCCACTTCATTCGTAAATCTACCCTCCCGTCTCGGATTGTCCGACTGTCGCTCAAGTCGCCCGTTGCGGGCGGTTCAGCTCACTGAGTCTATTCTTCCTGTCGGGGCAGCGCTTTTTACATGTGCTCTCTGTAATCCCTTTCAGTCAGTTGCAGCCATCAGCCGATCACGTGACTATCTTTCTCTGGCATTCCAGCAGATCGCCAGCCCAATCTCGACTCATGGTGCGGCGTCTTGCTCTCGTTTTCGCTCCAGCAGGTATCCTGTCTCGTTCTACCCCTATTTCTGCATCTTCTGAACATCCCTTTTTTGGGGGGATTTTACAGGACGGGTGAGGGTTCTGATTATTTTGGCGGGCCGCATTCCATAAGCAGGCTCTTCTCTTAGCAATCTCGCTTCAGGCCATCAATACAAATATAATTGCTTCAACAATTTGAGAAACTCAGGAAGCCGTCAAAGTTAATTGGCTGTTGCCGGATTGTCTTGAACTCAAGCTGCTAACAACCTCTGGCGTTTTAAGAGCTCATGCTCATTGCTAAACAAGTAAGTGGACGGCATAATCGCCCGAGTCTGGAAATTAACATAAGTCTCACCAGTATTTCAGTAGGTTTTGTATATTCGTGCAACTCGAATGTGTTTTATGGCAATGTAAAGCCTCAAGCTTATGTTAACGCAGTTCATGGTTCTCTCATGGTCTCCTGCTACCATCTGCTGGACAAATTAGAAATAATGATTATGTTGATCAGAACTGTACCTTTCATTCATTTTCTCTTCTGCATGCCTGGTAGAACTCGCTCAGCCTATGAAAGAAGCCAGGTCTTTCGCTGCCTGTGACCCACCGCCATCGCTCTCCCTGAGCTAATCATCTTTTAGAACCGATGCTCGACTAAATAACTCTCCACATTTCTTCCCGCGTTCAGCATGTAATCGCACCAAATCGGGCTTTGCCCCATTTACTTCTTCCTCGTTAATGTTCACCTGGCAACCCGGCACCAAGTTCTGCCCGCTACAAACTCTTTCTCCTTATTCCTTCAGAATATCCACCATTCTCACCTTCATCGCTCACTGTCTTGATGATCGTCGACTCAAACTCCCGTTCCCAAACTTTCCCTGCCGACTACAACCTCCTCATTAAGCGCCAAATGAAAGGTGCTACTATCTATTTCGCACACACAGGCGGTTCGGCATCACTGCTGTCCAAAGTGTTCCTACAGCTTCTCTCTGCTGCTTGGCCGCTGGCCATCCTCAGCCTTCCGTTCTATGTCAGACCGGAACTTTCAGCATGCTTGAAGCTCAACGACTATGTCCGCAAAGTGAGTTTCCTGTCAAATAACTGGTGGTGGAGCCCAGCATTTCTAACTCTCATTTCTTCTAGGGTTCTGCCGGCCGGGTCAATCAGGGCGGCCCGATTGCCCGGCATGCTGCCTCATCCACCAGCGCCTATCAGCCTAGTCAGGCTGCAGGCTATCAGTGCCTATCAGTCTCACGACTGCAGGGTATCATGCGCTGTCCGCCTGTCAGTCTTGTCAGACTGCAGGCCAACAGGCCTCGGCCCGGCACCCTCTCTTTGGGGGGGGGAAGACTGTCCGAGCTCGGCCGAGTTGATATCCTGCCCGCGGTGATCTGTGACTCACAGTCTTCAGCTGGGGCCGAGCGCCGAAGATTCTGTATTATTAAATCTCTAACTGCTGTTCTCTTCTCTGCTTCTTTTTAATTAAATAACAATCATTTCCTCCTATTTTGATTACAATTATTGGGAAAATTAAGATGTATCTGCACCCTTGACTGAAATCAAAAGTGCATAAGCATACACTGGAGGTAGAGCGAGGTATGGAGACATGGCGCTAAAAATAAAGACTCTGGTATCTGCAGACACCACAAAGCTGTGTCCTAGAGTTGCATTGCGCGAAGAGCTCAATTCACTGGCTGCCAGCTAATAAATAATTTTATTAGCCTGATTGTAAATAATTGAACCCTCTTAGTGCACACAACTCATTTAGTTTAACTGGTCCCATATTGAAAGACAGAGTAGAATTAAATAGATAGAATGATGTGACCTGAATTCTGGAGGAAACATGCACAGTAGAGTTGCTGCTGATGCAAACACAAATGCTTTTAAGTATTTGATGTATATCTGAGAGTGCTGCATGGGAAACTGAAATGACAACTACCCAGATAAATAAAGCATCCATCCATCCATCCATCCATCCATCCATCCATCCATCCATCCATCCATCCATCCATCCATCCATCCATCCATCCATCCATCCATCATCCATCCATCCATCCATCCATCCATCCATCCATCATCCATCCATCCATCCATCCATCCATCATCCATCCATCCATCATCCATCCATCCATCCATCCATCCATCCATCCATCCATCCTCCATCATCCATCCATCATCCATCCATCCATCCATCCATCCTCCATCATCCATCCATCATCCATCCATCCACCATCCATCCATCCATCCATCATCCATCCATCCATCCATCATCCATCCATCCATCCATCCATCCATCATCCATTCATCCATCCATCATCCATCCATCCATCCATCCATCCATCCATCCATCCTCCATCATCCATCCATCCATCCATCCATCATCCATCCATCCATCCATCCATCCATCCATCCATCCTCCATCATCCATCCATCCATCATCCTCCATCATCCATCCATCATCCATCCATCCATCCATCCATCCATCCTCCATCATCCATCCATCCATCCTCCATCATCCATCCATCCATCATCCATCCATCATCCATCCATCCATCCATCCATCCATCCTCCATCATCCATCCATCCATCCTCCATCATCCATCCATCCATCCTCCATCATCCATCCATCATCCATCCATCCATCCATCCATCCATCCATCCATCCATCATCCATCCATCCATCCATCCATCCATCATCCATCCATCCATCCATCCATCCATCCATCCATCCATCCATCCATCCATCCATCCATCCATCCATCCACATCATCATATATTCTTTCCTATATATATGTGGGTCGATCCCAACAACAGCAATTATGTTCATATATCTTCCTCTTCTACATTGTTCAAGAGTGTCCACGTATTTTATTTTTCTTGGTTTCAAAGCTATGGGTCCACTATACATTGTGCATGCACTTGCATACTCAGATGGTGTGGATACCTTCTGGTTCAGACTTATGGGAACTATGCATTGGCTGGGATGGTTGCCAGTCAACTGTATTCTTTATACCACAAGAGAGTAGAAAAGAATTCACAAGTGAGCAGAGAGGACTGCAAGCAGAGATTTAATCCATGTAGACAGAAGTTGTTTATGCGAGGAGAAAATGTGAGCATGAACACAAAGATTTAAAAGAGCACAGAGGATATTTGAAAGAGAGCAGAAGTTTTGAGTCCAAACATTACAGGTTTGAGAACAAAGATGGCATTCTGCTTTGAAACTGAGAATGTATGTTCTCGACACATGGTAGAAAAATTCCCCAATAATACGATACATAGAATCTCAATACTTACAGCAGAGCTCATGCTGTTGACTTTATCCAAGAGGGCAATAATAAGGCTGTAGAGGTTTCCCAGATATAGAACAAGGACTCTGTAAACAGAAAGCACACAATCTATAAAACCTGGTACAGTATAGCATGTGTGTACTTCATTGTCCAACACATTCTTTCTTCCTACTATGGACGTTTGCTGAGGTTCCCTGAGCCACATGTTGAGGCAGCAGGTACCCCCTTCTTGTCAGTAGTCGATTTGCAGGGTGTTTTTATTGAATGTTGTAGAGCTCCCTAACCACTGGAAACTGATGACATATGAATGAAAAGCATGAGTCTTTCAATTTTTCTGAAAAGCATAAAAAGTGCTTCAATCCGTTCACAGTCTATGTATTTGTATGCTTAACCATGTTTATTTTATTTCAGCTTTAAGAGATCCTCCAAATCTCTGAATATATGCTGTAATTTTATCTTCATTTCTGCAAATTTTTTAACATTCAATGAAAACACCCTGCCTGCACATCGAAGCTTGAAGAGGAGGCCCGTTTCCTTTACATGTAACTCAGAGGGAAGCTGACCGAACGTTCATATATGATCAGTATGGAGTAAGAATGTGTTGCATGGTCAGAGCAATTCCTGGGAGGGATTTTTATTACTTCAGTATTATTACGCCAAAATATATTGTAGTGCTGCTATTACTTGGTTTTAGGAACTCTACATCTTTAATCATAATCATATTTTTCTTAGTACTGGATGTTTATTTAATGTTTATTTTGCATGTCCTTGATCCCATTGCATACTCTTGCCAATGAATATTTCACTGATAATATCTAGTGTGTAATTACATACTCAACTTCATAGTTACTTTTGTATTATTTCTTTTACCTTGGTTATCTTTAATGTCATTATTGCAGGTCAAATTAATGTTTGGGTTGTCTATGTTGTCTGTAAACATTTAATGAACGTTTGGAGACAATGCTTACTGGATGTCAAAATTACACTCCTTTAAATGGCAAACTTGTCTGCAATTGTTCAGTTAACATTGGTTGAACATCTGCAGACGATGATTCACTGAATGTTTAATGGTGTTTTATTTGATGTCTGCTGAACAATCAATGTTAGGTGGGATGTGGCATTCCAGAGTTTCTGGGGACTGAGGGATAAGCTTTCTTAGACAGTACAACAGCACAGGCTGTCTACCACAGGACTGAAAATGACCTCTGGACCATGTTAAAGTTCAATGGCTGCTGCAGAATTTCACAGAGCTGGTTTGTACCACTCTGACATCGTCAATGATGAAAACTGATACATTTACAGAACACATGGACAATAAGCAGGAACTTGGGCAACAATAAAAGTTTAACACAAGAATCCAGTGAATGTATAAAACCAAGGCACTTCAATAATGTAATCGGATTGTGACATGGAAATCAATGGAGTACAGTAAACAAATACAGAACAGCTGTAACAGAATAATGGTTATAAACTAATTGGTAATACCAGGATTAGAAAATTGTGATGTCAAAATAGTGTGAGTGGGAGATATACACACTATTTAAGCTGGATTATGGCAAAAATAAAAATAGTAAAAATCAAAAAAATAAAAAGAAGCAGACTTTATTCCCTTTCTTTGATAATCCACATGTCCATGGTGAAAAATATTGAACCCTCCTATGGTTAATGTTGTGTAAGTAGGAAAATGACATTATTAAAAAGATTTTATCGGAATCCACAACTAAGGATACATAATGCAGTTAATGTCCAATTGATTCATTACCTGGCCAGCTGGAATCTCAGAGAGGTTCTTGGGTGATACATCTCCAGCTGAGCAACCAGCTCAAAAGCAGAAGGGGCAATCATAGTGATGAGCGAGACCACCACACTCACCTGAAGGGACATAAATAAGACAGCAATTTAAAAAAAAGAAAGATATACATCTCTTTTACAAAAATAAACTAGACCAGACCCAGCAAAGCAACAAAAAAACAACAGCTCAACAGAAAGTGAGAAACCTAGAAATTTTAAATAGTGTTACCGATTGGCTGACTACAGTTTGCTAAAGAGCTGTAGAATTACCTAGTTAGATTAGCAAGTAGGCTGACTAAAACTCAGAAAAAAAAAGAAACAAGCTTGTCTCTGAGTGCTGTTTTGCATTGGTCCCTACCTCTATTGGATGTTGAGTAATCAAATGAAACCAATAATTATGATAGATATCTTGCTTCTGTACCTCATTCTTCTCCCACAACGTCAGCTCTGGCTTTTCCTGCTCCAGTTTCTGGGATCGGTCAACCACAAAATAGATGATGTAGATGCTCCCAGCTAGTGACAGCAGAACCAAGATATTGGCTAAAATACGCAGACTGATGAGAACTGCCCTGAAGAAAAAACAATTGATCAAATGAATTTAGTAGAACTCAAAAATGTATAAAAAAAAAGAAAAGAAAAAAAACAACTTTACATTTACATGCTAGATGTTTTCTGGTCAATGTTGTGATTACACTGCACAATTAAGTACAGCAAGTCTAAAATCTCCTTTAGAATTTACTGGTTTTATAGTTTTTATGGCAGGACATGAGATAGACATCTCTCTAAAGGTAAAAATTTACAATGCAATGGAAACATGATTTTAGAACAAAGTACATTATGTTTGATTTTATTTGAAAATAAAACAAATAATAGTGTTTTATGATACAACAATAGTTTAGAATATTTTTGCCATGATATGTTGTAAGTTGATTGTGGACTCAACTGTAGAACAGTGGAGGTGTGGAGTAGATTTTGAAAATATTTAATGAAAGATGATGATCACAATAACATACAAAAAAAATCACAGGGCGTAAGAGCAGAATGAAAACCATAAATCCAATGAAAATGGCAGCAGGCAACACAGGGAAGAACCAGGAAGAATAAGAACTCAGAAGAGTGTCAGGGCAGAGAGTCTTCAACATCCCTTGTTGCCTCTTTGCAGGCCCTTCCATTTAAGTTTCTCATATTCAAGCATAAGTTGTCTAACCACTTGTTTGAATGCCAATCCTAGAAAAATCTTGACCTAGTCATCTTCTTAAATCAAGACATACATAAATGTACTTCTCTATAAATTAATTAAATTCAAATAAATAAAGAGAAAAACGTGAATAAACGTTTTGCTGGCCCACCAGTTGGGACTGACAAAGGCTGAAGCGACAGTAATGGAATGGCCATTTTTAACATGGTCCCAATTTAAGCCCTTAAAGGAACTGCAACAGAGTGACTCTGAAATAAACATGGAAGGTTCAGTGCAAGCAATCTAAATATACCTAAAGATTTTTATTTTCACTTTCAAAATGTGAAGGGAACTAAGAATCAATTTTTCTTTCTCAAGGATATTTATATATTTTCTTTGAAAGCCAACATAACAAAGAATCCATTCAGATATTATAGGCACTACGAGTCTGACTCAGAAACACCGTTAACATTGGCACATGCTCATGCTTTTTGTTTTCTCTTATTTAACTAGAGGAGTCGTTGTTAGTGCAAAAAAAAAAAAAAAAAAAACAACACCAAAAAGTTATACACAGGCATACACAAAAAGCACTTACAGGCTTGTATCCTTCTTCTTTTCTTGCTCTTCAACAATTGCTTCCTGTTCAAAACAACATGAATCAACCCACTTGTTAAATTCAAGATTTGTTTTGATTTAAATTCTCAGATTAATTGAGTTTAATCCAGGTTAGTCTGTTTGCAAGAGTTTTGTGTAAGTGTATGACTGACCCTGATGTTGTTAACAATTGCAGCCCCTTTGCACTCTGCAGCTTCCGGATTACCAATCAGGTAATCCCAGGCACAAAAAACTCTCCAACAGAATGTGAAGTTTTCATCAGAAGCACTGGCCAGACTCAGACGAGAGTTCTTTGCCATTCTGGTGGAAATATTAAATGTAATTTTTTTTAAGAGTATAGAGACTGGAGCTGAAAATACATAATTTAGATAGGTAGTAAATAGCACAAACATTACTTGCGTAACAGGATGATGAAACTGTAGGCAAAAACAGCCATCCCAACAAGGAAGTAAGCAAGTGGCAGCCGATAGCCAGCACTGCCAATCTTCCTCACGCTGCCATAATAACCATAGAATAAAACAGAGTACTGCAGGTACCCCTATGGTGAATCATACAAAAAATACAGATATATATAACAATAATATATTGAGAATGATTCTAATAATTACAGCTAATATACAGAATCACAGCTAATTAACATGCAACATCGCGTTGCATGTTAAATTAAATATAACTACAAGGAAACAATGGTGTAGAAAGAATGATCATACCATCACTTAGTGACTTATGGTAGAAGAAATTGATTAAACTGACCTTGGAAATACAAGGAGGCACTAAATTCATGTTTTAGTGAAGCTCTATTGTGTCTATACATAGTGTGTTATTGATCAAACTGTAAGAGGAATGAGAAGCTTGCCCCAAGAGACCAGATGGTGTCCAAGTCTTGGGCTGATGCAAGATGCTCTTTGGGGATAGTTTTACTTCTTGTTGTTCCAAATGGAGCTCCAGCCAACAGCTGGAACAGAAAAAGATTAATAAAGAAAAAAACATCAATTTTATTGCACTAGCATCCGAAAAAATCTGAAGGGTGGAGACTCAAAGAAACACAGCAAATCTTCAACATTTACAATACAGATACATTAGAAAGGACTTGATGCAAAAAACACATCATATTGTCAAGTTTAGCTGAGCCACACAGATATAGCATTTCATATCTGGTCACATAATCTACAGCATTAAAAAAAACAAGAATATAGAACTGACAGAACCTCCTTAGTGTTTGATGGTCCATGATTTCAATCACAAAAATAGAAAATGCAAGAATTTTTCAATGTGGAGAATAACAAGGTTATTAAAACCTTGGGGATACAAATAGATAAACAGAACAATAACATTACACTGGGAGGATGACAGTCTAAGTAATGTCAGGGGAAATTGCTTGTGTCTGCATGTCACTAACAACAATAAATCCAGCATCATGTTTCCTCCTCTTTTGTTCTCTGCAGTTTGAACATATTCCCCAGGGATAAGTTCTCAGCTATCCCTATAAAAAGACAAATTATTGTTTGCAGAGGGAAAAAACAAAACAAAAAAATTAAATTATCTCTACATTTTGGACAGTGGTAATAAATTTTAATACCTTACAATACAGTGGAACAGAAAAGTCTACTTTTAAATAGTTTTTTATTTAAATTCATTAAAACTCAAAGTATTTTGACGTTAAAAATCACATCACCTATTCACAGACAGATTGGTAGGTAAGGTTGTGAGAAAAAACTGGAATCCAATTTCCAGTCTCACAGTTACTAATTATGATTACTGCTCCACTGTGAGTCACGACCAATCATCTCATAAATCAACTGTGATCATGTTGGACAGTGTTCTGTTGCTAACTGAGAGGCTAAAAGGAGCTAATTAATTTCTGTGCTTAGTAACATTTAAGGGCAAAACTATAAATTGTTCACTCCTAACATATTCTTTGTTTGTAATTAGAGTCCATCCCCACATATTTTGGATGGAATTAATGTGTTACATAATGCTACTTTTAAATTTGCACATATTGCCGCTTGGTGGAGTCATCAGGAACTTGATGACACTCAGCTATGTGTCTCGTTGGCTCATAATGACCCTCAGCCAATCACAGCACTTTTTAATTGCATTTGCACAAAGACCTGAATGTCACAGAGATTTTTCTTGCTCAACAAGGACAAAACAGAAGTTTTAATCATTGGACTAGAGGATCAGAAAGAAATTCTAATTGAAAAACTAGAAAATTTCTGAAAACATTTAACCGGGGCCTACCAAAGTGTGCCTGTCGGTTTGGACCCAGCGTTCTGATGCTAAAAATTAGCATCAATGCTAACCTTAGCTAAATTGTAGTCAATAGCCTGTGGAGAGTCACAAGAATGTTGATTAACATGGACTTGCACCATGTTAATATTAGCTAAAATGAGCTAATATTAACCTCAATGCTCTCAGTGGCATGTGGGGTATTATTAGAATGTCATCTTAGATTGACTTCCTACATTCAGTGTCCTAAACATGGCTAATAAGTAAGAAAAATAGCTAATAGCTTATTTAAGGGAAAAACACTTATCTTAATGCACTGCCTTGCATAGAAATTTGATGTTACATAATATGGAGGCTTTTATTTAGTCATTTTCAGTAAGCTTGATTTCAAATGGCCAATCTAATCCCATGTGTAACAGTGACTGGGTTAAATCAGTGATATAATGGCCAAAAGAGCAAGTATTACCTGCTATTACCTTATGAACCTCTGTGGACCATGAGGTCCTCTGACACTAGACTACCAACAGTTTCAAGAGTCAGAATGGTCAGGCTTTCCAGTATTATTGAGCCCATTTGTGGAACGGTCTGCCAGAGAACCTGAGGGCTACAGACAATGTTACTGTTTTTAAGAGCAGCCTCAAGACCCATTGTTTGTTCTTGTGGGTTTGTCTTATTAATTGTTTATTGATTTTATTGTGCACTTTGAGCTGATTTTTGTGTTTTAAAATTGGAGGATTCAGTGATTGATTGTCTTAAGGCAATAAAGACTCTTTGGATTAAGGGATCTAATAAACTTAAACAGTCTAAGTAATGTCAGTTAAACAAATGCCTTTCATTCATATAAATTTAATTTATAATCTTAGGCACACTCCTTCTACAACATGACAACATGATCGACATCAGAACTAGCTTTCAGCACGTCTCATAAGAGGGAGATTTTATGCCATCAGAATTAGTTTTGGAACAAAAGTTTCACAATAAGCAACTGAAACAATGTTTTCTTACTGGTCTTGGTGAAATATATTTTCTTCTAATGGTGCGTTCAAACCAAACGTGTCAGGCACGTCATGGCGCTATTTGAAGCGTTTTGAGTTGGAGACTGACCATCAACCAATCAGAGAGGCTCTGCTTTGTGGCGTACTGTGAATTTTCTGATGTGATCTCAGAAAAAAAAAAAAAAAAAAAAAAAAAAAAACTATGGAGGATAAACTAAATGTTGCTGTTTACTCTTGACCTTTAATCTACAGCCAATAAAGTTATCACTGTAGAAATCTCTTGGACGAGGACGTTTCGGCCCTGGGCCTCATGAGGTGGGCTGCAGGTGTTTTTGGTGTCTCCAAAGCTCCTCCTCTTTACCGGTGTTACTAATCTATTCATTTGGAGCATAGAATATTTAAACCTGGCTGTTTCTACTTTCAAGCTCACCTTTAGTGCCGATTAAGTTATAACTTTTACTTTTTAAAAATATTTTCCTGCATTTGAGCTATCCAAATCTGCCCAGCAAAAATGTTGAGTAATGTGAAATAAACTTTGTATTTATTTATGTATGAGATGGTGGAAGAGTTTAAGGGACACAAATTCCAAGGAGTTTCCTCTACACACCCGTCCAGAGCGATTTTGATGTGCCTAACGCGTGTCTAGGGTAAAATGTCGTGTCTAACTTTAACTCATGGTCCGTTTTTGACGTGCGTAACTCATTTGGTGAGAATGTACCATAATTATTTTTGCCTTTGCTAAAGTTTTGTTCAATATAAGTAAAAGTGAATTTGCATTTTAAACTTAGTCTATGGACACTGACCTCTGGTAGGACCACAAAAGATCCTGTCATGATGGTGAGGACGATGTTTATCCCAAACAACCAGCGAAGAAAGATAAAATAGGAGGCCACGCCTGATCCAAAGTGACCTCAAGAAAAATAAAAATGCTACTAAAAATGTATTGAAAATATTTCATATACTGTAATTAATTTTTTTCCCCTGACAGCAACAAAACACTTATTAGGTTCTAAATAAATGTGCCCATTAAAACAAAACATACAGAAACAAGAGAAGAACATTACTTACTTTCAATTTTTTTGATCCTCACTTCCCACGGAATGAATGTAACAACAATGTTGTAAAGAACACGGTAAAGTTTTTTCAGCAGCTACAGAGGAGAAAAGTTTAAAAAAGCACAAAGTCAGAACAGTGGCATTAGCACAATGCAGAAGACAAGATCTTGTTTTAAAGTCCTACATTTTTTTCAGTTCATCCTTTGAAACGATTAGTGGCAGTTAAACTAAGTATTTACATCTAGTTGATTTTATGTAGAAACTCATATTTTAATATAAATGCCTTTTAATTTATAATCTACGTAAACTAATCAACTCTACAATATATGGAATGGAGTTAGTTAACATATACTAAGACAGTTTAAATAATTAAAGTTGTAAAACAAACAAGAATCTGTTTTTTTAAAATTTGAGTTTGTATTTCATTTGTTATGAGAAATGAATAGGAAAACAAGAAATAATGTCTTGCACCAGGAGTTGTAATGACTCTTTTTGTCTCCCAAAACAGTAAAAGAATAAGAAAAATGAGTCATACCAGAGTTAAGTTTTATGCATTTACATCTGTTTAATTTTACTCAAAATCTCAGTCCTGCATCAGTAGATGCCAGTAAAGTCTCTTTAAGTTCTTCAGACTGGCTGCCACCAGTCTTAAGATGGTAAAAGAAGAAGAGCTGCCACTTAATCTTGGTGGAGGGGTTTGAGTGCCCTAGGAGCTTTGCTGTCTGGGGTTTCATGCCCCTGGTAGGTGCACCTCCCCTAGGACCTTGGTCCCTAACCAAGATCCTCGGTGAGGGACCAGACAAAGTGCAGCCCAAAGACCCCTATGATGACAAATAACTGTGAACTTGGTGTCCCATCGCCCGGACGCGGGTCACCGGGGTCCCACTCTGGATCCAGGCCTGGATGGGGGGGCACGATGGCAAGACCCTGGTGGGTAGGGTTTTACCCATGGAGCCCGGCTGGGCTTAGCCTGTAAAGGAAACATGGGTCCCCCTTCTCATGGGCCCACCACCTGTGAGAGGAGCCAAACGGGTCGGATGCGATCTGAGATGGGTGGCAGCCAAGGGAGGGAAGCCTGGGGGTCCAATTTTCGATTGCAGAAGCTGGCTCTTGGGACTTGGAATGTCACCTCTCTGGTGGGGAAGGAGCTTGAGCTAATGTGTGAGGTTCAGAGGTTCCAGCTAGAAATAGTCGAATTCACCTCGACACATGGCTCTGGTTCTGGAACCAGTCTTCTTGAGACTGGAAGTTCTTTCACTCTGGTATTGCCCATGGTGAGAGGCATTAGGTTGGAGTGGGCATACTTGCTGCACCCCATCTTGGCGACTGTATGTTGGGGTTTACCTTAGTGGACCGAGACAGTAGCCTCCCTCCACCTACGGGTGGGGGATAGGTTCTGACTGTTGTTTGTGCTTACTGGTAGAACAACAATTCAGATTACCCACCCTTCTTGGAGTCTTTAGAGGGGGTACTGGAGAGTGCCTCTCCTGGGGACTCCCTTGTTCTGCTGGGGCACTTCAATGCTCACGTGGGCAATGACAGTGAGACCTGGAGGGGTGTGGTTGGGAGGAATGCTCCCCCAATCTGATTTTGAGTGATGTTCTATTGTTGGACTTCTGTGTTTGTCACGAATTGTCCATAGCAAACACCATGTTCAGGCAAAAGGGTGTCCATTTGTGCACTTGGCACCAGGAGACCCGAGACCACAGTTCGATGATCAACTTTGTCATCGTTTCGTTGGATCTGAGGCAGTATCTCTTGAACACTCGGCTGAAGAGAGGTGCGGAGCTATCCACTGACCACCACCTGGTGGTGAATTGGTTCTGGTGTTGGAGGAGGATGCCAATCAGACCTGGCAGGTTCAAACTTGTTGTGAGGGTCTGCTGGGAACATCTGGTGGAATCCCCTGCAACATGGAGCTTTAACTGCCATCTCCGGCAGAGCTTTGAACGCATTCCGGGGAAGGTCGGAGACACTGAGTCCGAGTGCACCACGTTCCATGCCTCCATTGTCGAGGAGGCTCACCAGAGCTGTGGACGCAAGGTTGTCGGTGCCTGTCGCAGCGGCAACCATCGAACCCGTTGGTGGACACCTTCAGTGAGGGATGCTTTTCGGCTGAAGAAGGATTCCTATTGGGCCTTTTTGGCCTCTGGGACTCCGGAAGCAGCTGATGGGTACCGGCGAGCAAAGCGGCATTTGGCTCAGGTAGTTGCAGAGGCAAAATCTCGGGTGTGGGAGGAGTTCAGAGAAGCCATGGAAAAAAGACTTCCACATGGCTTCGAGGCAATTCTGGTCCACCATCCGGCGTCTTAGGAGGGGGAAGCGGTGTAGCACCAACACTATTTATAGGGAGGATGGTGTGCTGCTGACCTCGACTCGAGAAGTTGTGGGCTGTTGGGCTGCCCACAACTTGTGCATGAGAGTTCACCCAACTGGTCCACATGTGTTTTGTGGACTTGCAGAAGGGTTCAATCGTGTCCCTCAGGGTGCCTTGTGGGGGGTTCTCCAGGAGTATGGGGTACCGGGCCCTTTAATACGGGCTGTCAGGTCCCCCTGTACGACCGATGTCAGAGTCTGGTCCGCATTGCCGGCGATGAGTTGGGCTCGTTTCTGGTGAGGGTTGGACTCCGCCAGGGCTGCCCTTTGTCACCGATTCTGTTCATTACTTTCATGTACAGAATTTCGAGGTGCAGCCAGGGTGTTGAGGGGATCATTAAGCATCATTTTGCAGATGATGCCTGTTGCATCATCTGCAAAAGCATCTCTGCTTTTTGCAGATGATGTGGTCCTGTTGGCTTCATCAGGACGTGATCTGCAGCTCTCGCTGGAGCGGTTTGCAGCCGAGTGTGAAGTGGCCGGCATGAGAATCAGTGCCTCCAAATCCGAGGCCATGGTCTTGAGCTGGAAAAGGGTATAGAGTGCCTTTCTGGGTCGGGGAGGATGTCCTGCCTCAAGTGGAGGAGTTCAAGTATCTCAGGATCTTGAACTCAGGATCTCCAGGGTCTTTCAGATCTCAGGAAGAGCTGGAAGAAGTTGCTGGGGAGAGGGAAGTCTGGGCCTCCGATCTGAAGCTGCTGCCGCTGCAACCCGACCGCAGATAAGCGGAATAAAATGGATGGATGGATGGATGGATGGATGGATGGATGGATGGATGGATGGATGGATGGATGGATGGATGGATGGATGGATGGATGGATGGATGGATGGATGGATGGATGGATGGATGGATGGATGGATGGATGGATGGATGGATGGATGGATGGATGGATGGATGGATGGGATGGATGGATGGATGGATGGATGGATGGATGGATGATGGATGGATGGATGGATGGTGGATGGATGGATGGATGGATGGATGGATGGATGGATGGATGATGGATGGATGATGATGGATGGATGGGATGGATGGATGGATGGATGGATGGATGGATGGATGATGGATGGATGGATGATGGATGGATGGATGGATGGATGGATGGATGGATGGATGGATGGATGGATGGATGGATGGATGGATGGATGGATGGATGGATGGATGGATGATGGATGGATGGATGGATGGATGGATGGATGGATGGATGGATGGATGGATGGATGGATGGATGGATGGATGGATGGATGGTGATGGATGGATGGATGGATGGATGGGATGGATGGATGGATGGATGGATGGATGGATGGATGGATGGATGGATGGGATGGATGGATGGATGGAATGGATGGATGGATGGATGGATGGATGGATGGATGGATGGATGGATGGATGGGATGGATGGATGTGGATGGATGGATGGATGGATGGATGGATGGATGGATGGTGGATGGATGGATGGATGGATGGATGGATGGATGGATGGATGGATGATGGATGGATGGATGGATGGATGGATGGATGGATGGTGGATGGATGGATGGGGATGGATGATGGATGGATGGGGATGGATGGATGGATGGATGGATGGATGGATGGATGGATGGATGGATGATGGATGGATGGATGGATGGATGGATTGGATGGATGATGGATGGATGGATGGATTTTTTGGGTAGAGTAGTCCTGTGAATGGAAGGTTGGAGGTTTATTTCCAGCTTCCTTCTGCAACATGTCAATATGCCTCTGGGCAGATGGAGAGCCATTTCAGACAAAATTAAATAAATAAGTCGTAAAAAATAAACAAATGAGTAATTGTCATCTTTATTCCTATTTATATTTATTCATTTATACATAATTTTTTTCACTTCCTTATTCATTTATCCTTTTCCCATTTTCAATTTTCCATTTTCATTTATCCTTTTTCAGTTTTCCATTTATATTTAATTTTCCATTTATCCTTTTTAATTTGTTTTTCTCTTTTATCCTTTTCCAATTTTCAATTTAATTGATCCTTTTTCAAGTTTCCTTTTTTCCCAGTTACTGGGAAAAGGGTAAATGACAATGAGGAGGGGCGGCATCATTAAGCTACAACTTCTCTCAATAGTTTGGTTAGCAGCACACTGTACTTTGCTGTAAGAAAGACGGTGACCTCCCTCCGGCTTATCAGTGAGCCAGAGCTTGGCAACTTCTTTAGAAAATAGTGTTATGACTCCGGACTTGATTATTTTTTGCCAACTGAACATGTTTGAGTTGGTGATTCTCATGGACTCTGAGGTTCACCGTCTGGGTGTTCAGAATTTGGATGAAGCGGCTGCTGACATTGGCTTAAAATTGAACCTTTGATAGTCCTCCAGTTGCCCAAATGTTGCATCCGTAAGTGTTCAATAATGGATGGACACATCCGTAAGTGTTCACTCAACACTGAAAATTGGAAATTATAATTTCTCAATTTCATTTGGAAATCTGCAATGTTAAATATTTAAAGCATTCAGTCTTCGGGTCGGCCTGCCTTGCATGTTTCAGGTGTTTTCTTCTGTCACACACCTGGCTTCAATAAATGGCTGATTAACAGGCTTTGGAATGGAAAGGGTGAGCTTATGCAATCATTTGCATCAGGTGTTCTAGAACAAGACACATTTTAAAATGTGCAGGGCTGTGTTAATGTCCAGTTAACAGTAAGATACAGGGAAGTTGCAAACATTTTAATCTCATTGTTATATTTTCACTGTGTATCTGAAGTTTATCACATTTCTGGATGTTTGGTGTTTTAATAAAAGTTAAGTTGGCAGAGGATTTTAGCAGGGCCACAACACCATGCAACATATGTGTTTTAAAAAAGAGGCTGTACTGTTGAGCACAACAGAATGAATTTTTCCTCTGATGTTTGGATGAACTCCTCTCTGTGGAGGTCAGCCATCTCTCTGCTTCTTCCTGAAGGAGATCATTGTGAGCAGTTCTGGTGCTGCTCACTACGCAAATGATTCTGCTCACCGTTAACCATGTCAGCCATGGGGTCTCTCTCCGTGAGACTCTCACAGAGAGAGCAGTCATTCATTTCCTTGGCCCTTTAATAAATAATGAAACAATGCATTCTGAGTGTTATTCCTGATTCAATTGTTAATAGAAACAATGTCTGATATCACAATAAGATTAATTTATTTATTTTGTTAAAAGCCCACTCTTCTGTTCCGTTCAGAGTTTAGGGGTGACTAACTACATTTACTCAATTACATGTGCCAGAGTAACATTTAGAAAAACAAATGTACTTTTAGGAGTATTTTTACTATGCTGAAATTTTTACTTTTACTCAAGTAATTGTATTAAGTATCACTACTCTTATTTGAACAAAATTGTCATTTTGTCTTTAAAATACTGATATTTCCACTGAACTTTATATTTTGGTCCATCTAATTGTGTGATTCTTAGATATTGAATAATTCATAACTTGATCAGTTGCTTTTTACTTACTTCTTACTTGAGTAAAAACAGTAGTACTTCAACAGTAACCAAATTTTGAAGCATAGACCAAAACATAGGCATACTAAGGTGTGCAATTTATACATTTACAAAGAACTTAAATTATATATAGTCATTTTTACTTTACATACTTACAAACATGTTTATCAGTGATAGACAGAAAATAACTGGAAAGACTGTGTAAATTTAAAGGCATTTTTGTGGTGTATTCATTTTTGATTTACAAAACTGAGCACCACCCAGGTTCATTAATCAGTTTAAGGAACTGACCAAATCCCTTCAGTGCTATTACCTCGAGAAATAATGAGATTTGGTTAAGTATAATAACAGACTTAAAAGCCAAAAAATGATCAATTATTACAAGCCATGCAAGTCATACAAATGGAATGGATACAGAGTTACATTCCAGCATTGGGCCTCACTTCGCACACCTTTGGGGTTACCCCAAGTGAGGCATAGACTGTAGCACAAGTTTAGCTTTTATCCACTCTGCATTCTGCACATGCCCTAAAAGGTACTGTCATCAATTTCAGTCTAGCGTCAGTCACATTAAACATGGTTATGTGAGCTGGAGTGTACATGTAAGCAGATGAGAGAGGAAAACAGAATCCATAACAGTATTAACCTAAATAATACCTTGCTTGTACAAGAGATATGAACAGCCATTAAAAATATATATACTGTCATAGTCTTCTTCAAATTTCTTTAACGTTCAGTACAACTATTTTCCATGTCTTATGACTGTGTTGGCGACCACAAAGTACAATATAAACCAGATAGATATACTCGCATGCTTCTCACCTTAATGGCCTGTCTGGACAGACAGCAGCAGTGGATGTCAGGTAATGGAAAGATGGCCTCCAATGCAGATCTCCAAAGCTTGCCATTCTCATTCTTTCAGCTCGACAAAATAACTAATTCTTCGATGCTCCATAGACTTGTCTCTAGAGCTGCAATGTCTGACCAACCGGAGAATTCCCAAAGCTTCAATTCTAAGCCAACGTCAGCAGCCACTTCATCCAAAGTCAGTGAACCTTAGGTTCCATGAGAGCCGTCAACTGAAACATGTTCTGTCTGAGCATCCACACAAAATATAATCAAGTCAGGAGTTGCAACATTATTTTCTGAAGAAGTTGCCAAGCTATATTGGCAACCAATAAGCTGGTGTTTTTTCAACAACACCAGCTTATTCACTGATAAGCTGGTGGGAGGTTGCAGCAAAGTACAGTGTGCTGCTAACCAAACAATCGGGAGAAGTTGTAGCCTGATGACGCCGCCCCTCCTCATTATCTTATTATCATTTACCCTTTTCCCAGTAACTGGGAAGAAGGGTAAATGAAAAAAAGAATAAATGAAAATGAAAAATTGAAAAAAGGATAAATATCAACAGAAAATTGAAAATGGGAAAAGGATACATCAATAAGGAAAATTAGGAAGTGAATATAAATATATAAATGAAAAAATATAAATAGGAATAAAGATATCAATTTCTCTATTTTTCCATTTCCCTACTTATTTTTTAAATTTTGCCTGAAATGGCCCTCCAGATGTGTTGGTGTACAAATGTGAGTATGAATGGGTGAATAAAGAGTAAAGCTGCCAAAAAGCTTTGAGTGGTCAAAAATGATCCTAGAATCACCCTTGGAAAAGTGCAGTGTAAGTTCAGTCCATTTGCCATAAATACAAATATAAATATTAAATATTACGAGACTTTAAGGGCTGAGAAACCTTCGTTTGCACCCGGGATCTGTGTTTCTTTTATCTTTGAAGGAAGCAATGAGTTTGTCACATTGGAGACGGATGGCCAGTTGGTCTGGTAGGAAGAATGGGTCGTTTGCATACGACCCAGAGTCTCGGGAACTGAACTTAACAACCCCAGAGGGGGACGAGAACTGAACCAGAGAATCCCGGGAACGAAACAGGATGCCTGCAGTCACAAAAGGACAACAGATGCCAAGCAGGGATAAGCAGTTGACACCTACCAGGAGATGCAAAGATAATACCTTGAGAATGTGTATTCTGTTTGCCTCTCCTTGTATGCAAATGTTTGTAATTAAGCTACGCCTCAATGTAATAAAATATGCAGTTGCAGAGGAGCATGTTTGAACTGGTCCAGAGACAGAGATAATGGGATGTCTCTGGGCAGAGTTCTCCATTCAATTGGAAGATTGCATAAGAAAATGTAACCATCTCCCTGTGTCCTGATTAATGTCCAGTGAGAGTGTTAGGTAATAGATCCAACATTAAATGAATGTGAACTAGTTCTCTTTACGTTATTCAAGGTCTGAAAGCACTGCATCTTTTTTGTTATTTTGACC